TGCGGAAAACTACGATGGGCAGTGGCTAGCGTATAGATAAAAGAAACGCTTTCACGAAAGTTGCAGAATTATGACTATAAATATTAAAATTCCGCACAGAAGAAGCTTCGACTAGTACGTTTTAATGGCTCTTTCTCTATGATACCTTTAATGAAAAATAACAAAGGATCTTGACCACAATGAGACACTGATGCGCTCTAGATTCTTAGTTTTATTGTTACATCGAAACAGAAAGAAGCGGTATCGTTAACACAGATGCTGTAAAATGGCCAAGAGTCACTGTTGCAGATCGATCATCTGTTATGACATTAAATTGGAACTGCTCCCTCAGTTTCAATTGACTTATAATGCAATTTACTCGACTCGTAGAACTGATAGGACCTCAGACATATCAGACTCGCAGAGTCTTTACATTTAGTCAAAAGGTAAGATTGTCTTCCACGAACCGGAGTTTCTAACATAAGTTAATTAGGATTTTTTATCTAGTGAACGCTCACAATTTTTCATTTAGGCCACGTTGAGTCGGAATTTTTTGACTCAGTATATGTCAGCATTAAATAACTGCATGGTTAACGTCTGCAAACCCTGTTTTGTAGACTGACATGATTGTCAATTGCCAGCGTACGTGATGGCGTTTTTAACTCCATTAATCTTTTTGGATTGACAGTCCAAAAACAATTTGCACCTGATAGGAAATGTATTCAACTTCGGTTGAGTTTAGCACCTGCGAGCATAACGATTTACCTAAACGTGATCTCCTGGTGAATTGTCGTCTCAAGTTGATGATAGCAGTCCGTGATGCTATGTGTAATTCCATTAAAGGATTATTTACGAATGTAAGTCTTAAAAAATAATTTTCACACGGTATCCACCCCTCGCGACGAAAAATGCAAATCCTACTTAATTCGGTTGAGTTGCATTGCAGTTGCAGTGGCTTAAGTCATGAAATAGATTAAATGATTTGCACTTCGAACGGTTGACTTGTCTGATTTATTCGTAATGTGGCAGCTCGTTCAATATTTTTGTAAAGCTAACCTTGGAGCATCGTCTCTGAACTTTATGCTTAAGTGAGTAAATTTATGTTTTAAGTGTTGGCAGATTTGTGTAGCTTAACTGCTCATGTTTGACGTGCAGGAGATGATAAGTAACTGGATGAGTCCTAACACAGTCTTCTCTGGCTTATTCAATGGATGAAATTTCTGGGAAAAAAAACTAACCCTTGTAAAAATCACAAGAAAAATCATTGCTCTCATGTCCATAACCGGGCAAATTTCATCTTTTGTGAGTGTTCTTCGCACGTTACACACTCAGTGGCCTTATAAGGCGCTAAATTTTACTTAAGCCAAATTAAAACAATTTACTTAATGTGTTACGAAGACTGAGCGTCACATGTGGGCCTTCATCGTAATACAACTCTCTCAATCATCACACCGTTCTAGCTTTGTGTTTTTTGTTGAAGCAGGTACCAGTAAATGAACGAAAACCAAATTTGATATATTATGACGTTTTATTAATTTAAATTCAAAAGTGAAAATTTGCACAAAACTCAGGAAAATAGCATGCTTATCTCAGGTATTGTACTGATGCTGCTGAACAAACCACGTGTTAGACTTCTTCCCGTGAGGCTAGTAAAACAAGCTCACTTCAAAGTGCCCCGAAAAAGTGATATTTGTCCTAGAGGTGGAACCGAAACGATTTTCAACATCACCTCGTAATAACGCCGCTTATGCAAACTTTCTCTAATCCCGCACCGCCATGACAGGGATTAGTATAACTTTGGTCGCTTGGTTATCGAAAAGTTATGTCAAAAATGTTCTTTTTTCAAACAAAACAACCTCCTTGTCGCTCGAACACCTGCTTGGCGCAGATAAAACCGAGTTCTTTGAATGACGATGTTATGATAATTCAACGCTTGTAAACAGGAACAACATGCTTTAGTCATGAAATAATTCCCGTCTTGGAACCACTCCTTGTGCTGTTTTTAGATCTCGCTTATTGCAAGGTCGTTGGTGTCTGACCTTTGTAGTAGATAACAAATGAAGAATGAAATATAGCCTTTCATCACCTGAGCTAAAAAGAGGTTTGTAGTTGTCATGTTTCCAGGGGATGCAAAACGGAAGCTTTGAATTTTGAGAAGTATACATACGGTTTCGACAGGGTGTCATAGGCTTGCACTTGTGCTTGTTAATTAATGATTCACATTTCCGACAAGGTCAACTTAAAACGCTATGCTGCTTTGTTTATTAAGTCGGCCACCAACACCTGCTAGAGAAGGGACGCAGTTTAAAAGAGGTTGTGCGCGTAAATTTCTTCGGCACGCGGAGCCTTGTTGAACACCGGCGGGAGACGACTTTACTCTCGGAGTAACGCGATTTTATCAAATAATTCATTTCTCTTGTTTTTAGCGCGTTTTGCTCCTTCCAAGTCTTCCATCTACTACTTTTTCTTTTGTTTGTCTTATTCTCGTTGTGGAACAGCGACGTCTGTATTACTTTCTCTATTCGATGACAGTTGAATAATTGACCGCGAGTTGTTTATACGATATTTAACATTCACGAACGTTTTCGTCCAGAGTGCTATTTGTTACCTAGAGACAACTTCTACAATATATTGACCTTTTCTCACTTGTCAATAAAATGTCGTATTTCTTTTACAACAAAATACTAAGGGAAGTCTGGGTTTTTATGCCAATTGAGGCTTAATGTCTTGGCTAGTAGTATTTAATCGTTAAGTTTCGTTTTTCTATTACTCCAAGAAAATTTGTGCTCTCGCTGATTCTTGCTTCGTAGTCCGGAATATTAAAATATCTACTCTATCCGTGTTTTGATCGTGACACACGGCACAATTTTTCGGAATGCTTAAATACCCTAGTCTCATACTTAATCACTCGAAGGCAAACACTTAGTGCCATATTTGCAGTATTTTTACTGGTGTATCGTAGGTAATAACTTTTGTATGTTTATATCTTATTTACGTCTGTATTGTTCACGAGCCCCTTTAGGGAAAACTAAACATCTTCAGCGGGTTTAGACAGGCAATATTTTTAATATCAATTGGATATTTCCGATTGGAAACGCTGCGACAGGTCAAGATATTAAAAAAGGCAGGACTAAACCTGTATTTGAAAGCGTTCGAAGCATTTACTTCCTCTGTTGGTTCATAGAGCGCACATAATAAGCACCGGATCCACCATTGACGTCACATCCGGACTATAAAGAGAAATAGGAAATACGAAATGGTCTTATATTATTGAATGTGCTCAATTCAAGGGCCCCTATTGTTTTTTATAGCAAACGAAAATTAACTGCATATGAATATAGTGGGCGTGAACAGGTAGCTTAAGTCTTCCGGTGTTGCGTGTCGTCCACGCAAGACACGCTTTCATCGCGTGTGCGAGTGCGACGCGAGAGACGAGTTGCGAGAAGTTTTTCCTTTGTAGTTGGAGAATATTGGATATGTTTCGTTATAACCACGAAAAGGCTCATTTTAGACTATAAGCGTTGCATCTATGGAAAAATTGTTGTGCCCCGTTGGCAATCTACAGTTTTAATGAAACGAACTTGCATTTGGACAGTCATCGACGCTTTTTCGGGAAGAACAGTTCACCACAACGTTTTGGGATCCCACGCATATGGAAACAGTAACACAACGCAAAAGGCTCTCTTTGTTGCTGTGTTTATGTCTATAGAGCTGGCGGCAAGTATAGCTGAAGATGAGAGGATTAATTTACTTGAAAGGAAGCTCACGAACTCAAAGCGGCTAAGTAACGGATTGTGTATATTCCAAAGTCAAAAGGAAATTGTAAAGTATGTCGTTCGCAATCGGTATTACTCTTCGTCATCCTTTATTATCCCTTTTTTTTTTTTTTACTATCGTTATTCCCTGAGTTTTCCTTTCTCACCATGTTTAAGGATTTCTCTTGTAAGGTGCGAAAATTAATCGGAACCAGTATAGTAACCGGTGGCACTTTCACGGTCTGGATTAAAATGATCTACGTTGTTCATATCCTTGGGTCAGGGAACTCGCTTGTCTGTCATCGATACAAACAAGTAGTTTTACACGGTAGGAAAAATTATTATGTTAAATTTGTCGTTCAGAAACTGAAAGTTTTCTTTGTAACAGTATACCTTTGATCAGCTCATCAGAAGTTCATTTTTGTTACGAAGAAATGTGTCACCTCAGTAGCAAGTCTAGGGAGCATAATGAGAATTGTCATGCAGCTGCAATTCTTAGAATTCACCGCTATCTTTCTTAGAACTCTTGGAAGTTCTCAGAATTTCTCTGCCACTGAACGAAGCGAAATAACCGTCTTCTTCTTCTTAAAGAATTTTTTACGTTAATATTCTTTTCCTTTACACAAAGAATTCGTTTCAGGCAACATCTTTGGATTTGCTGCAATTAATTGGCATTCGGGGTGAAGATTTCGAAGAGGTTCATATAAAAACAAACGACACTGTATCATGTTTTTATCGCGATACGTGACCTGAAAAATGTACTTCTCTTTGTTATTCGCGTAGTGTCTAAGCTAAAACACGTACTTCACAAATTTTCTTCACCACTTCTTTTATTGGGTATAGTTTCCCGGTTTTCTACAAATCATAAATTTTAACCTTAAATTCATAAAATTTAAATATTACTCTATAAAACGTCATATAAACTATGCTTGTCAATATCTTTTGGCGCAAATTGCTCGATCCTTGACTATGATTACGATTAAAATTTTTTGCATCTTGAAAATCACACACCTTTCAAGAAATTGACGCTTGTGTACGAAAAGTTTTAAGAACGATAAGAAAGCCTTTGTTTTTGTTTTTTTGAAATCATGCTTTTAAAAATTTCATCACCCAGCGACGTCTGACACAGTCAGAATCACGATAAAAGTTATGTGGCCTGTATCTTTACATAGTAAATACTACTCGCTTGACGTCTTTGCAAGGCAAGCACAGTATGGAGAAGTTATTCTTAAGAGCATACTCTCCTTTTTCTTATATGTTTTTAGAGTCAGGGGTGACCGTAGCCAAGTGAGAAAAGTCATTGTTTTGTTTTTTTTTTTCTTTTTTTTTTTCGGGGGAGGGATCAAAATAGCATCATCTAACTTTTTGCAATGTCATCTAAAAATCAATTATATTATAAGAGAACGCCATATGGCTTCGGAATCGAACACTTTGGCAGTAAAGTAAAAGGACAGAGGAAAGGGAAACTCTAATTATTATTTAACTTGCAATTTAACTTTGTTATAATAAAAAATACTGTCTTTTTAGGTTATTCTTGCTTCAAATTCTACGTTGTTCAGAAGGTTCGACTGCGCCTAATTCGATTGGATATCGTACGTAATATCTAATTAAATATCTTTTTTCTTCGTGGTATAAACTCAGTCTCGTGGTATAAACTCAAGTCGAGTCCTTATGACTTGATGTCTCGTTCTTTGGCGTCTTTCCTTTTCCGCCTAGTGGCGAACCCATTCCGAACACTGTAGTGCCTTAAGCAACAACATCTGGGATTTTCTTCCTTCTGGTCTCATCTTTAAGGCGATTCTAGTGTTCTTTCTGTGTCGGAGGTTGGGGTCGAGTATGGTAGTATTGTGGTTGTTGTAAAGAGCTTCAACTTTTTACTCTGGCGAATTGGTAGACCAGTTTGCTGCGAGGCTTTGCAAGTATTCCTTTAGCAATGTAGGTGCGCAGGGAGCGAGCAAAGTTCTCGTACTTCATGGAGGGCTTATTACGACGATTTCCCCACAAGCGCGCTACTTCGCTGGAGTTGATGAACTTGAACACGCCTTTCTCTTTGTCGATCCAGTCGATCATGTAGCCATATTTATCTGGGTGGTTAAGGAGCTCGAGCAAGAATTGACACAATCGAGGGCGACCGGACTTAAAGGTTGTTTTGTGGTTTTTGTGCATCACAAACTTCTGTTCTGTTGAACTAAATGCGCTTATATCACTCGTTCTAGAACCGGGGATGGTTCGTGTGTTCCACGGAAACTCTGGAGGACTGTCCACGCTCGTGAAACTCGCGGGGCTTTCGGAGTCTCGGTCCTGCACCATGTCAGTTTCGTCTTTCGTATGATCTTCTTCTTTGAAAAAGCTGTTTGCGTTTTCGCTCTTGAAGATGCCGTTCCTAGGTCCGCCGACGAAAGGTTTACCGCGAGGATTCTCTAGATGATCGTACCATGGTTCACAGTCGTTCACAAACTGTTGGTCCCAGTACGAAGGCATGAATACTTTGCATTGACTTTCAGATGTTTCTTTTCTTGCTCCAAGCTGACAAGCGTTCTGTGTCTGACTTATCAACATCTCGTCTACTTCAGAGGCAGATTCTTGCTTGCACAGAGCCATGGCTTGAAGTACCGGCGGCCGCCACTCCAAGTTATCCATCTGCTCATGAAAGCTGGCGAAGGGATCACGCGCGCATAGGAAAGGATCACGCGCGTGTGTCTGGTATTGCGTGTCGCCCAGCTGCATGCTGCATTGAAGCCAGTAGTTGGTTACCTCGCTAAAGGCTGATGGCTCGCTCTTAATTCGCAGATCTGGCTCACTCTTGTACATCCGGGCTAGATGAAGAACAAGGAAGGTAAGAGTTAGAGAAATAAACCAACACCAAACTCAACTGGTTCCTCTTTGTTGTCTGAACACTTATCATCAATTTGCCTTTTTCTATGCACTTGGCACGTTGCCTCGATTTATTCACGTTGCTTGGTTTCTGAGACGCAAGTGATTATTATCAAGTTTTAAATTTTCCTTTTCTACATGTTTCAGGTACAGGTGTTTGGCTCTCTAAGGTAATATGTAAATTATTACCTTCTTCGAGGCCCAGAGACCCAGTCATAAGCCCATCTTGCTCCGCGTTATCAGCGCCTGAAATTAAAAAAAGAGGACTTAATCTCAATGGAAAGTGAAAGTATATCTTTAAGGAATAGCTCTAGAAATAACTCTTTAAGCGGGATCGTGTCGTTGGCTAACCACAACTATCCTGAGGAAACACGAACAGAAAAATCTAAAGTTGAATTTACAAACCGCAATTTCCCGAAGTAGTTTGCTAACGTTGCTGTTTTTTCGCTCAATGACATTGCAACGATCTAAGTACATCACGTGTTAAACTCTTTCTTGCTGGTCTTTCCCTCATCATCTTATTTTCAGAGGAATTATGTAGCGTAGCCGAAAATATTGCCTTGTCCTTGATGGTTATTTTAGAATTTTTTCCCGTTGGTGAGTGTACCGTCGACGTTTGCGTGGCTAACGCGGTTCGGTCGACTCGATCAGCCGCGTTCAACTTCCGCTGTTTTGGCCAAGTGGTTTAATATTCAAAGCACGTTGATATTTCTGTGTTTACAGATATTATTTCATCGTTAGCTTGGGCTGAGTCGGGGGTTTGAAATTTTTTCTTCTCAATAGTGACTCTGAGAAAATTAAGAATTTAAACATAAAATGGGGACTTGTTAAATTTTGGCGCCGATAATAACACAGGATTAGCTATCCTTGTATGACCTCCCACGCGCGAGAAATGGTTAAGTCTCCCCGTTAGCGCAAACTTAGAAGTTAGCTGAACTACGCTTTAAAAACGTTATCAAGCAACCGAGAAAAAACAAAATACCTGGTACGACTTGTGCCGGGGTGAACATCTTTAACTCTGGAATAACTGTAGAAGAAATGAAAGGGAGAATCGTAAGAGAAGCACTTGTACTTGTTCAACTGTCAATCTTTAATATCAAGCGAGGCCTGTGAATGGCTGGTGCGACGTGTAGGCGTGGAAGCTTGATTAAGTCTGACGTACTGTGTATAACCACGAGGATCAAGCTACGCAGTCGGTGTTCTTCAACTACAACATTATCGATGAAATAGCAGCTCTCGTAAAAGTATTGTCATGAATAAAATTCGCCTTCAATTACTATACCCGATTAAATTGCATGCATATTTGTGACACCTACCCGTGGGCTGAACCGCAAAGTGTTTTTGGTTTTTTCACAATTGCGTGAGGTTAAGGTTCTTGTCGCTCGCTAGATGCGTTAAGAATGACCGATCGAGTGTAATGATCGGTTTTTTCAACATCCTTTCGGGGATTCTAAGTACTACAAATTACGTTATTCGCCTTCTTCATGACGCACACCTCCTCACGTGCGTTCCAGGTTTAGCCAATCACTGAGCGAGGTGTGTGACCATTGACGTAAACAGGATGACTTGGATCTATTTATAAATTTACTTAAGCCAATACAAACGGTGTTAGAGTTATGTTTCAGCACATTTCTTGAAAGGACTGTAGCACTCCAATTGCTTCTTAAAGGTAGTAAAATTATGATCGAGTAGTTTCACTTTAGGAGTTGTTTCCTACGTTAGCATGACCGCACAATTGAAATAATCTGTTGACAAAAGAGACCGGCTCATGTCGCGTGACAGGTCTTCAAATTATTCAGGCCCACGTAGCACAAAAATATACCCGAGTATGATAATTTATGTTTGTTAGGTGCATAATTTTATGCCCCAGCAAACAGGTGCTCACTTGGACTAAGTATTTTTTCTTACCTTCAAAGAGTTCCTCAAAAGCCACGTCTACTGGACTGGAAGGAACGCTATTATCCTGGACCATTTTCTACAATGAAAATAAAGAGAAATTTTATTTTGGACTCAAAACCGTTCAGATCTGATCTTTTTATAAACTAGCGGAACCGAGTGCGCTAGTCATTCATTGCGTTACTCTTGGGTTAATTTCGTGTGACTTACCCAAGGCCTGTATGTAGGTTTTTTGATAACAAATAAGTAGGTGACAGTGTTTGAAATAGAACATTGGAACATGCTGAGACTATTTATATGATTTTTTTTACTGACTTTAACAACATTCGCTTCAGTCTCCGGGAAAAACGTCAACTTGCGCGATGGAAGTCGTTAGACGTGACTTCTACCGGAAGCGTTTCCGGCGAAACCCTTTCTAGGAAAACTAGGAACTTTTACCGGCCCATTCTGTTACAGGTTGTCTAAGGTTATTTAGGCCAAGAAGTCACATGAATAAAGCCACACTGCGCATGTTATACTGGAGCTAGGAGTGTTATATTACTGAAAAGAGCTGTATCCGGCCGGTAAGACCATAAATGTAAGTCTTATGATAAAGTAAAATGTTACGGAATATGTACTCAATTTACTTGCTCTGGGAAATCTGTATCCCTTAAAATTAAAGGATAGCAACGCGTCTAAATAGTTGTTTTAAGTGGCTGGTAACTTGTGGCAACGGTCGCCATTGAACCAGTTTTTAATTGCAAATTCATTCAGGAGCTGAACGAATGCTAATTGTTAAGGTGCGCGGTGCTCGCGCGCGATTAGTTCTGGTCACGCGTGATTAACTCAAAGAAGACACCTTCCAGAGTTCTGGCGACTTAATTAAAACACCAATGATCTCGAGCACAATACGACAAAACTTTCACGTCCACAAATGGTAATGTCCTCGAGCACGTTCTTCTTTTTTTTTTTTTGAAAAATTAAGCAAAACAAAAAAAACTAGCATAAAAACAATATCTTGTTTGTCTAAGTTACATGTTTAAAAAAGAGACGACAGTCGTAGCTCACTCATTCTTGCCTTACAAGCACAAGTTAAAGGTTTTGATTTGTTCCTGAGACGTCGAAAACAGCATAGCGACAGAAAACTTTTTTTCTTCTATGTAAAAAAATTCCACAAGGAAAGTACGCAAATAACTTTTCACCCTAATCCAATCTTCTTTTGTACCACGGCCCGAAATTGTTGTGCGCATGACACTTACCGTACGGATTGCTATCGTTCTTTGACGATGAGACTTAAGAGTGGTCTTCGCTTTATGTCTGAGGTCTGCGTTCTTAAATACTTGCGTTTTGGAGCTTTGTGGCTTTGCGAATATGAAATAATTCTGCCGGACTGGTTACCGTTCAAAGCCTGGTTTTCGTCGTCTCCGAGCGCCCGGTGTCACAATTCACTTTCTCTTAGAGTTAAATCGTGTGATGTCTTGCCCAGTGCAAGCACGTTGTAATTAAGCCCATTTGATATCCTCGTTTAAAAACAGTTCATTCATTTGTGATTAAAATATGGTTTGAATGACAGGCCAATGGTTGTTATGACATCCGGTGGTGTTCTTCGACACAATGGGCTCTGACGTCACAAAGAAGGAGGGCAAAAAAAATCCCTTTTAAAATCTACACCTTAGTTTCAGTGATAGTGTTACCGCAATTAGAAAGGTGTATTGACTCTTTGCTAAAGAGATGTCTCAAACTGCTTATGATATTGCAGACTAGAACTTCTTTATAGTGTAAGACGATGGTTAAAACTATGATGGGACTCTGTTTCGGTGGCGTACGTGAGTTGCCTCTCATGTAGGTTGTCATGTTGTCACGCCAGATAGGACAATATTGTCGTACCCTCTACAAATCTGTGTTCTAAACCTTTTTAGATCTCTATCAAACACATGACTCCTGTCAAATTTATGAAGCTTAAACATTTCACTTTTGCACGCGCGGTGCTGCTTAATCGGATCATATGTATTTGTGAAGACAGCTCGCTCAAGCCTGCATAGTTAGGCAATAATTTAACCCCCCTGGAATATTACACAATGCACACTTGTCTGCATTTAATGCCTTAGTACCAAATGTTTTTCGTTCTATCTGCCACGTTTCGTTCATCAGAATGTTCATAAGACAGGAAAAAATTCATTGTCTCCATGTCTTTTCTTTGGATTGGAAGAATATGGCGTGTTTTTGAGGTAACGCTTCACTTCATCTGGTGGAATGTGGTGACAATCTGCTTCAAATCATGCTTCAAACGTACGTAAATTACTTTGCATGACTGTTATTTTGCGACACATTTTCGTTGAAAAGAGTTTCAGCGGTTTTGTAAACTTCCGATTTTCTTGTTATGCGGTTTGCAGACGAAATTTTGTTGAGACGTTTTAGAACGGTTTCTTGTCGTCATGAATGACGTCAAATATGCTGGTGTGTGGGCGACCGAGAAACTCCCGCCAAAAGTGGTTTGGTGTTGTGTAGGACGAAACATTTCGATCTAAGGAACAGCAAGGCACAAAATTTCGTGTGTTTTTTCGGTTAGCAATTACTTAGTTTAAATTGCCTCGGTTAATTTATCACCAGCATGACCACAAAACTAGCAGGCGCTTTTTTTTTAACATTTCCTCTGTTTAGCTTCGTTTCGATAAGGAAGCTGTAAACGTCATAATGTAGTCTTCATTGATGTGTGTACGACAGCACTTACGTATCTTCAGCCGCACTTTGGCCCAGAACATGAGACCAAACCGATCGAATTTCCAAAAATACAAACATTACAAACCTCTTCAAAAATATCCGTCTATGCTGGAAAGTTATAAATTGAAGCCCTGCCAATTTACTCGCTCATTTTATATTGCGATCGTTAAGACTGCGCATTAAGAATTCCGGGCAGCCTGCATGCTTGCCGAAGGTCGTCAGTGTAATGATTATCAAGGACATTTACAGTGCAAATCACTGAAAGAAGTGGGATATTTTATGCGCGGGTCAACTGTTTTGAAGATAAATTTGTAGACTAAATCATACACCATGTGTGTTGGTTTGTGTTTTTTAACCACTACTAAAACATGGTCCAGGCTGTTTTGTCGAAAACAGAAAGTTTTGTAGTGAGAAAGTGTAATCTGTTATTAAAGTCCTCTTTATGGGTTACTTGCCTCATCGGGAGACTGCCAAATAATTGATCGCTCGGTAACGTTTTATTAACATCCAGGTGATTAGCTGAAGGGCATTTAATGGTTCCTGTTGTAAACACGACAGATTCCCACGGTCTTTAAAAATATGCTGTAGTCTTATTTTCTTTCTTGGACAACTTATCATCGTATATGATCTTAAAGAGCCTTTTCTTTCGATCAAACTTCCATTTGAGGAGGTTAAGAATCGCAGACATTTAGTACATAGGTCCAAAGTTGCAAGAATGCCTTTAGTTCTTTCAAGTGTATCCAAAGAGATACCAATTTTTAAAGAGACAAACGTCACTTAACAATGTTCTCAAATCACCATTAGGACCTTTAAATCTGCTGTACCAAAAAGTTTTTCTGTGGTTTTAAATTTGCTTAATTGCCTAATAAACTAACTGCGGTAATTCAAGAGCATTTTCTGGCGATACAAACAATATCACCCGACTTGTTTTGCACGAACGTCAGGAAGTCAATACCACTATTGTAGTCTTGTTGTGAGGTTGGTCACGTGGCAATCTCCAGTATCTCTTGCGCTATCTTTCGTGCTACTTTGAAACCAAAGCGAAGTGGACATCATTGTTTTGCGTTTTCGTGAATGCGTAGGTGTAATTTGTGTTGACAAGTTACGGCGGTAACTAAGAACCGAGATGATTAGTGACATCGTGACAAGTCACGGTTAGATACCTCAAAACAACAAATTTAAAACGACATCCTGCCTGTTGACCTTTAAAACATTTTGAAGAAGAATAATCAACGGCCCACTCAACTGCGTCAAGACCGATGTTCTCCTGCGTAGACTTTTGCTGTGGGCATCATAGTGGTTTTAAAAAATTGTAAACTTGCTCGCAGTAAGAAGTGGGTGTGGAACAAAAGGATTGTTAGACAATCGGTTACGTATACCTCCAAAAATTTTGTGAAAATGACCCAGAGCTTTCAACAGAGCGGACAGTGTGAGCTCTCAGAGCGATTTGCACATATTAATTTCTACTCCATACTTTGAAATCCTTATTTTTGTTGGCAACATGTTTGCTTAAAACACGTTTAAATACGTCTATTTCATAGAACCGCGTTGTGTAACATATTTCTTGGACTGGAAATTTGAAAAAAGCTATTTCGTAGCATTAAGCAGATGTGAAATAGTTTGACTTTCGGCATACATGACTGAATAAAAAATGAGCCCCTAATGATAACTCACATTTCTTTCATAAATATTCTGATAGAAATCTTGAAACATGACAAACAAATAATGACAACAGTGGGCGAACATCTGATGTGCTTTACAATCCCTTTAGTAACCAGTTTTTAGTAGGGAGTCCTCAAATTCTTTAAGTCTAAATATCCACCGTAACTTCTATAACAACGAAAAGCTTTCCAATAAAGCCTTCGGTAAACAAGCCTAATTCAAATATTTAATTGGCGCTAATTGGTTGAATATTTGATGTGAGTTAAACTTTTTAATGGCTAGTTCCTCTAGAACAGACCCCCTAAAACTTAAAAAAAACTCGGGGAACTTAAGTCAACACCTTACATACGCTTTTCTGAGATCAGTTGAACGCCATAAAATGTTTGGCTAAAAGATGACTGGTTTCAGAGCAAAAGAAAAGAAAAAGTTCTCAAGAACAGTCATTTCAAGTATCCAGCCCCCACCACAAAGCAGAGCATACCGTCTGCCGGGCATGCATGACCGAGCTGATACTTCACTCCAGGGTCGACGTTCCACGTGTTCTAGTTTCCCTGCAAACATAAGAATAACAATTTAAGTTTAAAAGCACATGAGCCATCCCTCTTTGGTGTCTGCTGCACCCCTCGTGCTGTTATTGCAGGAAAATCTCATTTGAAATCCCAATGATTGCACTTATACTTTTAGGTTGCCGGATAGCACCCATGGAATTTTTGAATACACATCACAGGACTTTCAATTTTTCTCTGCAAACAATTCGAACATTCTAGAAAGGAAATTGTCTACAAACTGAAAGGGAACTTGAAATACAAACTCGTACTTCTGATTTCCGGATGTCCTAAAAGGAGATTATACACATGGTGTAATCTCACATTTCGACAAGACTTCCCTTTCGGTTTTTATAATCCAGCAGACGGATTTCCCATCTTCATGAATTAGGTGTTCAGAAAATGAAACAAATTCCTGATTTCCTTCTCAGCGTTTATGCAAATTTAATGTAGTCTCTGCGCAGCGAAGGCAGAATGACCGCCGCTGAAGTAGTCACGTGACCTTCCATAAGATACTATGAGACAAACTTACTCGTTCAACAAGTACTCGGTTTCTTGGCATTTACCATAACTTTTCAGCCGAGGTTCTGATGTTAACATGTTTTTGTATCATTGGCTGCATTAAAAAGGTCCTTGCAGCTCGAGATAGCAAAAAAAAAAACACGTGTAGCAATTCAGAGAGAATTGTAGAAGGTGCGTGTGCTACTTGCTCTGCTTAGACCAGCTCCTCAAGGCCGTCAATGTCAGAATGATGAGATTCACTGTAACAGTGCAAAGGAGCTTTCAGTCAATGGTTCACAAAGTCGCTATACCTTGTGCATCTTTGTCGTAATGGCTTATTAGTCCCGCTTATTCTTGGCACACTATCCTGCTGTCTGATTCATGCCCGTTTTTGGCCGAACGTAGACAGGACGTGTGAGGCTGCCATCAGCCCCATCACGACAAGCAATTTAGCTAGTCTCGGAGGTAAATGTTGGTGCTTTAAACTTTATCAGATGTTGCATGTCTTTCCATGACATACAAAAACGTTTGCATAAGCCGTAAAAATATCGCTTGCTTCCTCGTACTTCAACGTCTAAATGTACGAACCCGGAATTTTCACTGCCTTTAATGCAAGGCATGATTGACAGCGAAGTTGTCATGACAACACCATGGAGATATGTTAATTTTTTTACGTGTGTTACCTAGTCGAAACAAGCTCAAGTGAAAAGCGAACTTCTGTGAGTTGGCCTCTACAAGACGACACCTTGCAAATAAGAACAGCAATTTTCTAGTCACGGTCCCAGGAGCTTCAAACTATTTTTTCCAAATGTTTTTAAACTCTCTTAAATCCACGAGTCGTTAAATTAATTAAATGATGAACAACTGCACAAAAACCCCTAACGTTTACTTTTTTAAGGGAAGATGACCTGTGTTACCTCATTACCGCTTAGGGGGTTAAGATATTTCTTTTGATAGATTCTATAAATTCGTGCTTTGCAGGTATCTGCGCTGTGATATGCATGACTGAAACTAATTGATAGATTAAATATTGATATAGTTAGAGATTCTTCG